GGCAAAAGATTTGAACAGATACTTTGCCAGAAAAGAAATGCAGATGGCAAATAGACACATGAAAGCTGTTCAACATAATTAGCTATTGTTGTGTGCCATCCAGTCGATTCCAACTCATAGTGGCCCCACGTGACAGCGTACAACTACCCAGTAGGGTTTCCTAGGCTGTAATCTTTATGGGATCAGATTGCCAGGTCTTGTTCTGGTAGGAATGAAAAATGGTACAGCCACTTTGGAAAATAGTTTGGCAGCTTTTTATAAAGTTAAACATACCATAAAACGTAGCAATCCCACTCCTGGATATTTACTCAAGAGAAATAAAACAGGTTTACACAAAAATCTGCACACAAATGTTTACAGTGGCTTCTGCATGGGATCATCATAAGTCAGGGGGTGAATTGACAGCAGCTAACAACATTAATAATTCCAAAAAGGTAGAAACAATGCAAATATCCTTCTGTTGGTGAATGGATAAACAGAACTGTGGGGCACCCATACAACAGAATGCTACTTAGCAACGAAAAGAAACAGATTATTGATACATGCAAGGACACGGATGAATCTCAAATGTATTATGCTAAGTGAAAGCAGACAGATTGGAAAGGCTACAAACTATAAGATTTAATTTATACGACATTCTGGAAAAGGTAGAACTATAGGGACAGATGGGTGGTTGCCATGGACTCAGGGTAGGGTTAGAGGATTGATTACAAAGGGGCTCACTGAAACTTTTTGGAGTGATGGAAATATTCTGTATCTTGACTATAGTGGTGGTTACTTGATTGTATGTATTTGTCAAAATTCATAGAACTGTACAACTGAAAAAGATGAATTTTACTGTACGCAAATTATAAATCGGAATCGACTCGACAGCAACGGGCTTTTGGTTTTGAGAACCTAACTTTAAAAAAAGAGAAAAGAAGAGTGTTTGGGGGGACACTGTGTGCATGGAGAGATTGATTTTATAAAGCTTTTGCTGGAGAATCTTACATATAAATAAATACCAGCAGTTTACACAGGGGATCAGTCAGTTTCACTAAACTGTATCCTTTCCCTGCTTCCACCTTCATTTCCACTAGTGACCTGAGCTCCACCAAGCACGATAATCTTTCCACTCAGGAAGAGCCAAAGTTCCAGAGATGGGAGAAGAGGCGATGGGGTGAAGTCACAGGCCAGCTCTGCGGGCAGCAGAGAGGACTAGGCCAAGACAAGCGGTTTATCCCTAAAGCTACTCAGTCACTCCTCCAGTCTGCTGATTCATGAGCTGTGGTTCCTGTGGGCATGCTTCTTAGCTATTCCTGCCAACGAGGGCAGAAAGATTCTTGGGACTGGGAGGGGATGATAACCAGAGGTCCTGAGCAGGGTGGAGAATTGCAGAGAAATTTCTATTCTAAAACTGCAATCATATCCAAACTCCTCCTCCTTGTCCCATCTTGTGCTGTTCCCAGGATGCCTCTGTCACGCCTCAACTTTGCCCTCACTCCCACAACTTTGTGGAGGTTAGAGGAATTAAGGGGAAGGCTGCCCACCTGCCTGGTTCCTCTTGGAAGGGAAAAAAAAAGGTAGACACTTCACAGAGCATACACTGAGTTTCCAGCATCCTCAGAGGTCCAGATGGTCCAATAGTACTCAACACCCGAAGAACTACTGGTCTCAGCGGGATTCTAACGCTCTCCAGAATGTCCAGTTGGAGCACTTGAGGGTCTTATGTGAGTGAAGATATTCAAATACTGTGTTCTTTAAAGTGAGGTTCACTACTTCTAGGTGCCTTCTCACAGCATTCCATAGATACTTATTTTGCCAACTCTGTGCCAGGCACTGAGTATAGAGTGTCTGAACAAAATAGACATGTCCCTCTCCTCATGGAACCTGAAATCTTCTGTACATCTCTTTCTTTTCCTAGAGACAAGACTTGAGGTTTTCTCATGAATAAAGCAAATGTATGAGCCTCTCCCTTCCTTGGCCTCTCCCATGGGTTCTTGCTGGGTCAGAATGGCTGAGATATGCCAAGCAACCAATGAGGAATGTGTTAAAAATAAGAGGGGTCCTCCCCTTGATAGGAGTGGGAAAAGGGATCCCATTAGTCTCATTCTGCAAGCCTAGATTGCACTCATGCATGGAAGAGTAACAGCTCTTGACCCCACATATGGTGGATTCTATGGAGCCAAAAAGTAATGGTACTAATAGTAGTTGCCATTTACTGAACACTTACTTTGTGCCTCTATCTCATTTAATCGGCATAGTTATAGAAGTATTATTTTCTATACTTTACATATAAGGAAACTGAGGCCCCAAGAGAGTAAGTTGCCCAAGGTCACACAGCCAATAAGAGGCAAAGTCAAGAATCAAACCCACATCCCAATGGCTCTAAACCACACCTGTCCCTTTTCTCAGCTAACAAGCCTTCCTCCCAATTCTCTCTAGCCCCTGAGGGTTCCTGCAGAGGGCTTTGGTTGGAGAGTTTCCAGGATATAAACTCAGGAGAAAAAATCAACCTCAGCTCAGCACTAGCCAATTCAGATGGTGATAGCAAACAAAATTTGTTATCCTTCAGGATTCGGTTTAGAATAAAGATCTAAATATGGGGAAGCCACAAAATCCAATACTTCTTGGGAGAACTCAATTGAATCCAAAACTCAATTCTACTTTCAAGCAACCTCCCGTCTCCCCATACCAGACTCTCCTACACTGGGACAGCCTTTCTATGCCACTCCCCCTACCCCTTCTGTGTCCTTTCATCAACACAATTCTCTTACTCTCACCCCCACCAGCTGCTTCCCAGGGACCTGCCATCCTACTACCAGCACTGGGGTTGTTGTTGTTGGGTGCCATCGAGTCAACTTCAACTCAAAGCAACTCCATGTGACAGAGTTAGAACTGCCCAACAGGGTTTTCTAGATAGTAATCTTTATGGAGCAGGTCTTTCTCTCACAGAGAGGCTGGGTGGGTTCAAACCACCAACCATGAACCTTCCAGTTAGCAGCAGAGTTCTTAACTGGTGCACCACCAGGGCTCCTAACACTGGATGGAGAATGTAAGTATAATACCAACTGCTTTTACTGGGGGATCTTTCACTCAGGGGTCTGACTCTAGAGCCCTTGCTGTTAAACACTACTCTACCCTGCCTTTCAGAGGGAGTCTGGGGCTAGCTCTGCACAGCCCATCACCACTGCCGAGAATCGCCCTAATCACACCAACAAATCTGTGAACACATCTCCTAAAGGACTTCTCATGCAAGGAACTGCAACCAAACTTAGGTATGTCAATGCAGTGAAATCTTAATGGGCCATTACAACTGTGTGAACTACATCAACACAAGATATATTGGGGATGGGAGCTTGGGAGAGACAGCAAAATAACGTATCTTCACTAACATTGAGCTAAGCACCAGGCTAGGCACTATCTTATGTTCTCTCATTACTTCTTAAACTATAGGAAAACATCATAATTATAAACAAAAAGTGAATTTACAATGCTGGGGATGTAAAAACAAAACAAAACAAATGAAAGCAAAAAATGTTTCAAGTTCATGGAAGCAGTAGGAGATAGCTGAGTTGCCCTCATAGATTTCTCCATTCGAATCAACAGCGCAGCATCGAACCCAACGTGCTAACATCTCTGGGGCAGAATGCTGGTGATTCATATTTCTGTGTGACAGTCATCAGGCTACTCATGCAGAATGAAGACATCAGCTGACCTGTGTTAGTCTTTATCACCTAGGAAGTTTCAGTAATGACAACCTAAACAGCCCCCTATACATCAGCGGTTAAGAGATCGGCCGCTAACCAAAAGGCTGGCAGTTCAACTCCACCAGCCCCTCCTTGGATATCCTATGGGGCAATTCTACTCTGTCCTATAAGGTCGCTATGAGTCGGAATCAACTCGACAGCAAAGGGTTTTGGTTTTTTACACATCAACATTAAGATATTGTCGCTCTGTGCAGTATGATCTTTTTACATACATTGTCTATATATACATAGAAGAATCTGGAAGGCATTCACCAAAGTATTTTTGATCTTTGAAATGGACTTATCGATAATTCTTACTTTTTTTTAATCTCTCTTTTACACGGTCTAATAGAAACATGGTCTAAACACTTAGGTTTTACGAGTGTTACTGTTTTCATTAAAACTATATGTATGCACGCTCGTGTGTCCTCTGAGGAAGGCTTGATCCCAGCGGTCCCAGAGCAAGAGCTCTTCCGGGAAGATCACCAGGGCTCCAGAAGGACCAAGGGCAGTACCCCAGGGCTGTGCCTTGCTCTGCCCCTTCACCGCCCTCCCCAGCATCAAAGCGACAGAATGTCCACTGCTCTGGAAGCTGACGATTCGCGCGCAGCAGCAGGAGAGGCAAAGCCAGGGATCCCAGCCAGCCCCAGGGCCCCTTGGCATGACTCCTCGCATACAGTAAAGATTTTTCGGGTCCGGGGTCTGTCACAAAAGCAGAGGCACCGCTAGGGACACTGTAGGGGGCAGCGCCCTTATCCTGCTTCAAAACGCTCCCACGGGGAGCCACCAAGTCAGAAAAACTTAGGAGAAAGTGTAGCACAAGGAGAAAGAGGAATGTCAAATAACTGGCGAACCCGCGCGTGCATTCTCACCCGAAAAGCTACAAGCACATCCCTCTGCCAACGCGCGGGATAGCCCCAGAAAGCCCACTTCGCCTCGGCTCCCAGGCCGGGCCGGTCTTCCCTAGCACGGCGGGGACCACCCGGGATGCGCACAGCGGGCACTCAGCGCGGGGCTCAGAGCCGAGTCTGCCCCAGCGAGGCGCCCAACCTGGCCACCGGCTCCAGCGTCCCAGAAGGCCCGCCCCCTGGCACCGGGGGCCTGTCGTCCCTGCCCCCGCGGGCCCGGGAAGGTCCCCAGGCCCGGGCTCCGATGGCCCCGGCCGGGGCCCATGCACTCCGAGAGCAGCCGCGCGAGCCCCGCCTGCCCAGGTCTCCTGGCTCCACGTCTGCAGACTCGGCTGTGGCGGAGGGGGCGCGGAGCCTCACTCACCTCCGACGCCGACGCCCGCCAGCGCCCCCAGCGCCAGCAGAGCTGCCCAGAGCGGCCGGGCCGGC